GAAAGAGCAAGGGCCTGGGTAGCAGCAGAGTTGGATGCAATCAGAGTGGGAAGGGTGCGAGTTGCATAGCAGTGGTGTAGGAACCCCACCTGCCAGGGACACTGGGACACGTGATGTCCTGATAGAGGCTTTACTCCTCCCCAAGCACATCTTCAACCCCATGAGATGGACTTTACAGACACCTCTTCCCTGCACTGGTAAATGATGCATAATATGGTGGGACTACCATGAAAAGCAGAGCAAAGAGGTCCTGGGTGTAGCAGGTGAGATTCTGGGGCAGGGTCTGCTGCACAATGTTTCTTGAAGAATGGCACTTGCAAGGTAGTTGCATCTTTTCATGTTCTCCTTCTCTCCCTAGGTGGCTTCATGGGCACATACCAATGTTTTCTTTCCAAACAGGTCTTGAAGCCTTCAGATGCTCTCCTGCCCTTCCCCACGGCCAAGGAGTAGGAGCAGAAAATGTGTAGGCCCCGTACACGGCAGTCTGTAAGGCTGTAATCTCAGTGCTAAGGGCTGTGGGGAGCCAGTGTGGCTACTTGAACCAGCCTGGAGCCATGAGCTCTTTACATGAAGGTTGGTTTTTAATATTTGAAGGCTATGTCACACGCACTCTGAAGCAGGATGGTGTTACAGTTAAGACTGGGGCTTAGTGGCTCAAGGGTCTAAAGGGTATCAAGGCTCTGGGTTAGTTGGCTCAAGCTTTTCTCTCTCACTTCTTCACCCCACTATGCCTCAGTTGCTCTCTGTTCCCTTCTTTCTCCAACTCCAGGCCATGCCCCCAGCAGCAAGTGGCCTGAGCAAGGCTAGTACGGGGCTGACAACCTCCCACCAGCTTCAGCATCGCTCTCTGGGCAGCCGGCATGGCATGATGAGGTGTCCTGTCAGACGAGGAGGAGCCAGGGCAGTCATTCCCAGCAGCACAAGGACTGACAGCATTTGCCCGGAAGGTCTGCTTGCACTGGCGGCAGAGGTTTGCTGAAGGGGCTTTCTCAGTGAGGACCAGCATGGCATTTGCTCCAGCACCATGGCACAGGCAATGGAGGAAGATTCCCAGAGTGCCTGGCCTCAGCCCTGCTCTCTCCTGGCACAGGGAAGCAGTGGAGGTGGAGTTGAAAGAGGCATAATTTTGCTTGTAGTAATCCCTTTTCTCCAGTATTTTAATGAGCAAAGCAGGCTACAGTGCAGGAGGGGCCCGGGGTGGGGGGAGACTCTGCCTGCGCCGACCTGCATCACCGGGCACAGACATCACCATCCCTACGGTACCCATGTCCCTAGCACTGCCAGCCACAGACACTGCCAATCCCCAGCCCAGACACAGCTGTGCCCGTACGTGCACGCACCCACCCGCGTGCCAAACACCTCCCTGAGCCTAGGCGAGCACCTCCTGTGCGCACTGACCCCTCCGCACCGGCGTGCCACGCAGATGCCCTGCACACACACCCCGTCCCTGCCTGGCTGCTGTACACCTACCTACCCCGGGCAACCCCGCATCCTGGTGAGCGGGGCATCCTGAAAAATCTCTTCTGGGTTAGGGCAGATACGAGCAACGCTTGTATGGGAGGTGGGGCAGAAGCAAAGGTCTGGGAGAATTAGGGAGCAGCCCTTTGTCCACAGACCTGAGCTCGACAGGAAAGTTCAGAATGCCAGCACTGCTCATCTCCTGCTGACCTTCAGCCAGCAGTGAACCAAATGGCTCTGGGGTTTCGCTTCCAGCTGGCAGCATGCAGGGTCTAAGGCCAGAAGTGGGCATTACATGGTATGCATTTCCTACCTTGCCTGGGAGGCGAGGGCCGGTCCCCTCAGCTGTGACACGTGGCCTCCTCTCCCAGGTGCCATGGAGCACCAAAAGATGACGTTGCAGAACAATTTGTACTGCGTGAGGGTTTTTGTTCATCTCTTTGTGAACATCACTTCCATCACTAACATTTAAATGCACATCAGTGTATTAGTTTTTGCTGTTGGCCACAGTCGAAGACAAACATTGACTCACCCAGTCCAGCAACCAGGTCTTCTGCTCCCTCCACTTGGAGGTAGACCCAGGTCCAGAAGCTCAGCAGGAGAACACTGGCACACTGCCATGAAGGTTAATGGGAGTGTGTTAATCTACATCACCAGAAGAGCCATCCCTGCATGGTATTTTGCTCACATTGTATGGATTCATAGAAATAAAGCTGAATTGTGACACTCTGAATTTCCTTCCCAAAATCAGGAGCTCGTTGGCATCAGTTCTAAAGCATCTGCATTTCTTTTCTCCCGTCCAAAGAGAACTGCTTAGTTTATCAGACATGAATCCAGCTTTGTGTTTCCCGAGGTTTGGCACTCTGAGTCTGAGATGGTGGGGGTGGTGTTGGGGATTTTTTGCCTTTTTTTTGCCTTTTTTTTGCCTTTTTCTGCCTTTTCTCCTCCCCTCCCCTCTGTTTTTTCCCCCCCTGGGGTGCTCCTTTCTCATGTTCCTGCTCTGGAATTTCTTTCTTTAGTTCTGGTTATTGGGGAAGGCTGAGGAGCTACCCTTTCTATAAAGCAGCTGCAATGTCCACAGAGGAGAGTTGCTCTGAGCCTGATCTGTTGAAGTCAGTGGAAGCCTTGCCCATCAAACAGGAGGCAAGAGAGTCAGCAAGAGCCATGCCAGCCATCAAAAACACAGTGGAAGTTCCAGGGCTTTTCCGGCACATGCAATTACTAAGTTAATTATTGCGCTATCATCTGTAGGAACTCTGTGCGATTACTGTGCAGTTACATGGACTGTTTACCCACGTAGCTTATAAATAGAGTTGCTGTATAATTGAAATGTGGTGTGATCAGGTTTATGCTGGGTGAACTATGGGGTTGCTGAGCGCCCA